CCCCCCCCCCCCCCCCAAATCCAACACAAAAACGGAAGGAGGACTCCCCCCCTTCCTTATCCAAGTACTTGAGCTCGGCACACGAAAACAAGCAACCGGCCAACCCGACCTTTGCGCGTCTCGGCCGCGTTGTTGTTGGCTGCCAACGGGCGGCCGCAAAAACCCTCCGCACACAAGAAGTAACCAGCACCACCAGAACCACAACCCGAGCACATTTTTTTTTCCCACACACTTGTTTGTTTTTTTACGTTTTGAGGTATCCGGCACAACAGACTGCTATTCCTTCAAGCTCACATGCCAGCGTTTTGTATGCTACACCATTCACGCATGTATTTACAATATTCAAGGGAAGGGATATCATCCGCTGCACAGCGTACTTTCTCTCCTCGCGAACTTACGACCATACTCTCGAGAAAATACGGGGGAGGGGAGGGGGGTGTGTGTCCTCACAAGTCATCACCAGACGGTAGTGCTCGGGATGCTTGAAAATTCCCGAAGTTGAGGCGCCCATGTATAGCTAGATGCTACGCACACCAAGAAACAGCGGTTGAGTTTCCCGCCGCAACCCATGTTGACCGCACCGCGATGGCGTCACACGGATGAATTGATCGTAGACAATTGCAAAGCCGAATACAGCTAACTCCCNACCTTTAGCCCCCCCCCCCCCCCCCCCCCCCCCCCCCCCCCCCCCCCTGTACTTCTGTTTCACGTGGACCACCGTGCACGAACCCCACCATAAGGAGTAGGAATACACCCGCAGATATCTTAAGTGGTGAAACAACTCCCTCAAAAAAGACACATACTGTATACATGTACAAGAGTCACAGAGCCCCGTAGTAGGTGAAAAAGAAAAACAACAACGACGACGACGACGACGATCTCGTCTCCCGACCTTGCAAGCAGAACGTTTGCAAGGCCGCCGCGGCAATGCTCCACGAACACTCCGCCTCTCCATAAGGCACCACGACAAGAAGACCGAACGGGAAGGTATGTCAAAAGCACGTTGACGTCCCCTAAAGGCAGTGACAGTGATAGCGCATCCTCCCTCGTCGGTGCCCTCACCCCGAAAAAATACTCTACGGTGACCCCCCCCCCGCGCGCACCACCGACGAACGATTATTTAGGACAAAAAACTGCGGCCCGATTCCAAAACACAGTTCGATTGCCTGCACCACTCAGAAACTCGGAGCCTGGGTCGACCACAATACCTCCACACGCACGCACGGACTTGGAATAGACGTCGTCTCTGTCGCTTGTGCGCGGCGATGTAAAAAAAACAACTGGCTACGACGACGAATGAGAAAATCGGACCCAGAACCACAACTACACAAAAAATAGCCGTGTTTATTACTCTTTTTTATTGCTGCCGTGCACAAGTCTGATGGATATTTCTACATCTACCCCACGCTCGCGAGTTTTGACTTCGACCAGCCGAGCGGAGCGGAGATCGGGTATACCCCCCCCCTCCCCCTCATGCCCATGGGTCTTACCACAGAGGACGGATTCGTCTTTGAGACTTTTTCACGATCATACCCCTGGTCCGCACAGGGTTCTGCAGGAGACGACGGTTTCAACCGTGATGACCACCGACACCACTGTTGCTGCTGCTGCCATCCGACAAAACTACAACTAAGGCTAGCCTGGGCCGCCCCCTCTTAAAAGGGGGGCGGGGGGGGGGGCGCACGACAAGAGGAACAACGCCACTCCGAAACGAAACCCGGGTCGGTAGCTGTGACCGTGTTCGTGCCTCGATGTCCGTTACCCCAAACCCTCCTCACGACCTGCTGTAAAGGGAGGGTCCCGGCGCGGCCACGCCTGGTGTAATATTTATACAAGTAACAAGAAGAACCACCACACAGGGTGAAAATCTAACCTATTATCTACTCGCCGCCGGCGGTGAACGGACAGAACCGAACCGGCAGCGGTTGCGCCGTGCGTGGTGGGTGCGGATAAGTCCTCCGATTGGCCACTCACGACGACGTTGTCGCAGGCTACGTGTCCTTCAACCACCCCCCACAGGCCTGGAAGAGCTTGGATCGCTAGGTCGCAGACCGGTTGATCAACTCACCGAGCAAAGGCTTCCATCCGGTGATTGCCACCTTGCCGTAAATGCATCTCTTGCTGATCGCAAAAAAAGAAGGACGCGGTGACCGGTGCCCTACCCATCTCGGACCCCGAAGCCCCGTCGAATCAACGCCAGCTTACTCCCGACACTCGAATCGGAAACTAGTCCGTACCATCTACGTGCCCGACATGCCACTCCAGCGAATCAAAGCATGCGTGCTTCTGACCCATGCGTGCTGCGTACTGACGTGAAGGAACGTACCACACCCGCGACAACGTCGGTCCGGGGTGTGTGTGCTACTGCTGCAATCCCAAGAAAAGGCAACGACGAAAAAAAGAAGACGCCAGACGAGCCACGCGGGACAAATCGCTGGACCATGAAAGAACCAAACAACAAACACTTCCTCTCCGACGCCCCTATTCACCCCCCCTATATCCACTGTACCACCTCTGACGTCTCTGAACCGCCTCCTCCCACTCAACGCCTCCTTCACTTTTTTTTAAATTTTCCGTGTCTCCCTACATGGTTCTTTCTACCTCACTCCCCCCCCCCCCCC